AAGGGCAGGCTCAGTGGTAGAGGGTAGCAGAGACAGAACGTGGAACCAGAACTTGAGCAGGACCTTTAAACTGGTCTCCCCCTTGGAGCCAGGCTTACGGGGATAAAAACCGAACCTCCCCGCGTACAGAGCCAAAAACCCAGAGGACTCAGCAGGGTAGGAACAGTGGACGAGCAGGAGACGAGACAGACACCAAACCCTCTTTCCACTGGCCGCCAGGATCCAGGACATGTACCTTGGAATAAAGAGAACTGAACAGAAAACAACATCTAATGATCTGGCCATGATAGCTGGAACTGAGCCCAATATAAGGGAATGAGATGAATGATAAATAGGAGGAGGATAGAGTAAAGCAGGTGAAAGGCATGAGTATTTAAGGCCAGCTACCACAGCAGATCGTGACAATGCATGCAACATTTTTAATAATTTCCTCTTTTTACCTTGACGTAATGCAGTGGGGCACTGGGTGTACCAGTGTTCTGTGAGGCATAAAATGCTTTGTCATGAGGCAATGCCAATAAGAAAAGCTGTGATGAAAGACGGATATTTGGGTTATGTTTTTTTTTACATTTTTCAGCACAATTACAGTAAAGTCTATTTAGAAATTCTTTTTTTTTTAAACTAACAACTGAAAAATAACATCTGAAGAAAAAAATAAAAAGAAAAGAATTTAAATCAAACAAACAATTTCTTTTTAGAAACTTTTTTGTTAAGAAGTTTTCCAGTTTTGTTTTTGGTTTTCTTTCTGTTTTTCTTGGCGCTATAAAAAAGGCAAAGTAAAAAACTGAAGAATCCTGTGAATAAAAAGTACTTTTATCAAACCTAACTATAGACCAGAGATGGGAAGTAACGAAGTACAAATACTTCGTTACTGTACTCAGGTAGATTTTTCTGATATTTTTACTTTACTTTACTACTTATTTTTATGGCAACTTTTTACTTCTACTCCTTACATTTTTACACAAATATCTGTACTTTCTACTCCTTACATTTTAAAAAATTGGCTCGTTACTTTAGTTTTGAATCATTTCATTGGAGTTACCGTTATTATTTTTCACGTCATCAATACCAAATTCAATCTAATTGGATGGGAATCTACGTTGCATCTGACGCACCGCTACAAGATGAATCGACAGATTCGGCGGTATTCATTGGCGGCAAATCATTGCAGCTTGGTGGCGGTGGCGTTAGCATAGTAGCATGGACGACGAGATGATTGAAAATGAACACAACGGAGATCTAGTCCTATTGGCAGACATCCATTTAAAATGTAGGCAACGGCATGAAAAAAGTGGTTTCTACTTTTACTTTTATACTTTAAGTAAATTTACAAGCCTGTACTTTGTTACTTTTACTTGAGTAAAGAAGTTTAATCAGTACTTCCACTTTTACCAGAGTATTTTTTAACACAAGTATCTGTACTTTTACTCAAGTACGGAAAGTGAGTACTTTTGCCATCTCTGCTATAGGCATCATACAGAAAACGAAAAAAAAAACACCCAAAACAACTGCTTTTACCATGCAGACAGCTTCTTGCTGTACAAAAAAAGAAACATTAGGTAGAAGGACATTATTATCTCTTACACTGAACTCTGGCATTAACACTTCTTAATGCTTTTAAATAAAATAAAATTAATCATTTTAAATATAACCCCCAGCGATAATGCTCAGAACAGAAATATTTTACTTCCTATCAAACTTTCTCTTCTGGTCAGGAGTGAGGGTGTCGGTAAAGTGAGCGCTTTGAAAGGAAGCTAAAGTTTTATACAGAATTTGGGAAAATTTGGGAAAACCAGTTGCACCATGCTGCGTTTGTCAATGCATGCACATCTGTGAGCAAAATAACAGTCTGTGTCTGAATGATTATTTGTTTTGCAGTTAAATTCTAACCATAAAGAGAAGGTGGGGTTTAGAGATGGATATAGATTACCAGTGCTTTCCAAACAAATTAGTGCTGTAATAATGTTTTATCTATGCAGAACCACTGTCTAAAAATGAAAAAGCATAGGAGATGTGAGGCTTAAGCCTTTACAACACTGAGTTATCAAACATAGTTAAACATAATGGTGATGCTACAGACTAACATTGCTTGAACTCTGGTCGTATATCTACTATTCTCCAACCACATAAGAATGTAATTGTGTAGGCGTAGGTTTATTCTGGCTTGGCTCACTCAGTACTCCAGATGACGATTTCACTGCTTAAAGCAAAACCTGATTTAATTTAGCTCCTCATATAGTCTTAGAATTTCAACTCAAATGTTTTTTGTTTTATAAAGAATCAATATAAAATGAAATTTTCCTTTAAAAATAAAGCACCTTGAAACAATCATCCATGTTCACTCCGCTCTATAACCTCTGTTAATGTTATTTAAGTAACCCCACACTCAACATCTTTAAAAATGTTGAAAATTGGTAAATGGCCTTTACTTATAGTAGCAGCCATTTAAAAATTTGGGATCAGAGATTGCATGCATGATTGAAGACTAAATTTGACTTTTTAAAATCCAATACCAAAAACCGCCAGAAGATGGCAAAAGTGCATCTCTGTCTACCACTTAGATGTACCACGTTTCTTTTGATATCCAGTTAAGTGTTTAGTGTTTTGGCAGAAAGCCCACATCCCTTTTTTTAATTTACACGGCCCCTTATGACACTGGTACATCAATTCAATTCAGTTTATTTATATAGCGCCAATTCACAACACATGTCATCTCAAGGCACTTTACAGTTCACCATCATACAGTCAAATAGTTTCAAAGTTTTCTATCCCAGGAAAACCAGTTGATTGCATCGACTCATTGACTCTTTAGCAATCCCTCACACTAAGCATGCTTGCAGCGACAGTGGAGAGGAAAAACTCCCTTTGAACAGGAAGAAACCTCCAGCAGAACCAGGCTCAGTGTGAGCGGCCATCTGCTGAGGCCCACTGTGGTTCAAGGAGTCAGGAAGCAGAGATACAAAAAGCAGCTGTAAAAGGCGGCCCCGTCCAGGAAACACACAGCCAGGCAGCTCCCATGTCAGAGGATGAAGAGAGCACATCCAGCCAGTCACGGTCAGAGAAACAGGACTACACTGAAAAACAGGCCGATCTCCAACATCTATAAACAAGGGTGTTGATGGAAGCAGCACAGCTGATATTTCTCTCCAGTATGGTGTCACAGCCAAACAGGAACAGACGATGCAAAGCTACTATAGCTACAATAAGAAAAAGCATCAGCTGTTGCCGTAGCTCCCGTCAAACATGTAGTGTGTGCAGCTTGATGACCAGGGTAAAACTCCTATTTGCGTAGTACCTTTAGCTGCTGGATAGGTAAATTAGCTTCCTGGAGCACAGCGTGCAGAAGCAAGATAATCAAAACATCATGTCAACCACAAATTAATTTAATAAACTTTTTGAACTCTCCTACTGACTGTCTCTCCTTGAATACTGGGTCCATCTGTCCTCATTTCATGACAGATAGAGCACTAAAATGGTGGTATCGGTATCGGCAAGTACCAACAAATAGGGCACTAATACCATTTTGAGAACCAAAAGTTTATTCAACTATTGTCACCCATTCCAGGTAGGCAATAAAAAGTTCTACTGGATTAACTTTGTATTTGTCTATTTCCTGCTTCACAAAGGTAGGCAGCAGCTTGACAAAGCCATGATGGCAATTATTTTACATCCAAGTAGTATGCAGTTCTTCATATATACACACATACATCTATTTCAAACAGATGGTATCGGTATTGGCCAATACTGCACAGCCAGGTATCGGGGCCAAAAAATGGCAACGGCGCAACACTTGTTTTTATCTGTCCTTGTGGAAATGGGTTCCAGTGTCTGTGCAATGTTTGCACTACTAATCTGTACCAACACTACTGCTGCTGAAGCTCCTTGAACATGTTATTAGCACAGAATAGTAGTGAGAAGTTTAATCGTCAATTTTTCTCCTGCTTTGTGTGCCAACTGTCATGGCTGCTAGGCAACAGAGCGTACTCTGTGTGGGGTACGGAGACAGTCGGAGAAGGCTGGACCTGTTTGAATCCAAAGCCAAACTGTTCCGGCCTACTTACTTCCAACCTCCTCATGGCCCTCGAAGGACCTAGTTCAGTTGGACCAGGTCCTGTCCAGCAAAATCGCTGCAGACACCGAGCTCGGTCTGAACGCACTATTTGTAATGATCTTGGCACCTTTAGGCTGGGTCTTTTGCCTTTTTGCTCTTGTCTACTTTGCTTCGTCCTGTTCTTATTAGCTCTCATCACATCTACCTGTTCCATCTGCTATTTAAGCTGCTGGACCCCAGCCTTTGGTGCCAGATTATTCAAGCTCTCTAGCGAGACTCTCTAGCGTTCCCTTGGTTTAGTCTGCCTGTTCCTGATCTGTTTTCTGCTCACAGATTTCTGAGTTTTCGAACCACCCCTTTCTCCTGGACACAGACTGAACTTTGCCAGAGTTTCCAGTGAGCCCGCCACAGCAGACTTTTGAGTATATTACTGTCTGTCTCTACATAATTCTGGGTGCTATGTTCTACCATTAGAGTAACCTTTTAGTTGGAGAACTATTCCAATAAGATATATGAATACTGTTACTTTAAAACTACTTCAGTTTAAATAAGATAGACAAAAGGCAACATTAAATGCTGAAGAAAACTTTAATCATAATGAGCAATATATCAAAACACAACTTGAAAGGTATATGAATACACACACATATATATATAGATGAATGGATGGAAGTCTAACTGTATTATCTGAAGTAAAAAGTAAAACCAATTGATCACACCTAAAACACTGATATCCACAACATTATTAGTCCACCTTTTTTATCCACTGTATGAAGGTTCTATAATTTCTTTCCAAGGTGGAACGTTTATGTCTAAACAAAATGCTTCTGTCATGTTAGGTAAAACATACGTCATGCTTTATTATTGCATATTATCTGATTGTATTTTTTTATTGATATCCTTTATTGTTTCTCAAAATGTAAGTTTAGTTTATGGTCCTGATAGGTTTTTACCCCCATCTCTTGCCTCTACGTTTGCCACTTTTTCCACGTCTACGTCCCTTTCCTTTCCTGCCACTTTTTCCACGTCTACGTCCCTTTCCTTTCCTGCCACTTTTTCCACCTCTACGTCCCTTTCCTTTCCTGCCCCTTTTTCTACCTCTACATCCCTTTCTCATTTTGCCACTTTTTCCACGTTTACGTCCCTTTCTCATCCCGCTGCCTTTTCCACCTCTACGTCCCTTTCTCATTTTGCCACTTTTTCCACGTCTACGTCCCTTTCCTTTCCTGCCACTTTTTCCACGTCTACGTCCCTTTCCTTTCCTGCCACTTTTTCCACGTCTACGTCCCTTTCCTTTCCTGCCCCTTTTTCTACCTCTACATCCCTTTCTCATTTTGCCACTTTTTCTACCTCTACATCCCTTTCTCATTTTGCCACTTTTTCCACGTTTACGTCCCTTTCTCATCCCGCTGCCTTTTCCACCTCTACGTCCCTTTCTTATCTTGCCACCTTTTCCACCTCTACGTCCCTTTCTTATCTTGCCACCTTTTCCACCTCTACGTCCCTTTCTTATCTTGCCACCTTTTCCACCTCTACGTCCCTTTCTTATCTTGCCACCTTTTCCATGTCTACAACCTTTTTTCATCTTGCCACCCTTTCCATTTTTACGACCTTCTCTCATGCTGCCTCCTTTTCCACGTTTACAACCTTTTCTTATCCTGCCACCTTTTACATCTTCACCTCCTACTTCCACCTCCCTACCTTGCTCCAGCTCCCCTTGTTCACCTTCTTCGTTCAGCTTTTCACCTATGTTTTCCAAGAAGCCTGTATCAGGTGAACCTATTTCTACCCCTTTTTCTTCCTCATTTGATTGCATTTCGTCCTGAACACAGGAGGGGGCAACACCATTACCATTTCTGCAGTTTGTGCACTGAAAAGAATCACCTGTCTCATAACAACGGAAGATATTTTCAAGCCCAAACTTTGAAAATGCTTGCCTCTTAAATAGTTCATCCCTATTCAGCACGTTATTATTAGCATCACTAGCTACCTTAGAAAACACAAAAGCATAGCTTCCCCAGTTCTGAATAATATTAGAAATCTGGCTGTCAATGCCATTCGCCTTTAGATATCCTTCAGAGTAGACTATGAGGGCGTTACCCGCACTGCTTTTTATGAGAGGTTCCACTTTCTGCAGAACACGGGCCAATGCATCTGACTGGGTAGCTGCAACGACCCTGGTGCCTTGGTAAACCTGACCCTGTGAGACAGTTTGTTTAACTTTATCTTCTGGGTCATCGTTGAGAACTTCTGTTAGACTTTCTGGATCTTGGTTCACAGGGATGTTCAAAGCCACAGTGTAGGTGTCACCTAGTGGATACCTGCCAGAAAGAGATGTTACATAAATCATTAGTGTTCTAGTTCTTGTTATAGCCACTGTCAGATTTTGTATTAAATATTGAATTCCTTTTTTGTTTCCTATAACTGTTGCTTAAAAAAACACAAGTGGCATATCTTTCTATCTGTCTATATAATATGTGTCAACAAGGGAGTAGCAAAACTCTCCCCCTCGTTGTTTATAAAATCTTTGTCCAAATTTTCTCTAAAAGGCTTAGAGTCATAGCCTGGGTGCCATTCCGAACTAAGTCCCGCCCACAACGTTTGAGGTCGGGAAGTTCGGTCTGGCATTGCTCAATAGTAGCGCGAGTATTCTCGCACAATATCTGGCGGGCCAATCAAATTGTCAGGGCGGGCTTTATACGATGATGGACAGATGATCAACAGTAACGTAATCAACCACGTCACCAAAGCGCGCTTGGGTGACAACAACAATGGCCGCCGCACTGGAAAAAGGATCTAAAAATAAGTAGAAATGTCTTAAATTAAGTGTATTTACCCTTAATTTGAGTAGATAAATTAGATAGTTTGCCAATGGAATGAGTATTTTTGCTCTTAAAATAAGAAAATTAGATAAAATGCACCTGAAATAAGACAATGCAATTGTGTTTTCTTATTGTAAGTGTAAATTGTCTTGTTCCATTGGCAAAATCTCTCTTTTACCTACTAAATCCAAGAACAAATACACTTATTTTAAGAAAAAAACAACTTATCTAGATTTCGATTTTTTCCAGTGTGCTGGAGAGTTGAGGTGTGTAGATTCTGCTATTAGGTCTGTTCTAGAAGATATCGACAGCAAATTAATTTTAAAAGAGGAACAGAGAAACGGGATCAAGGCTCATCTTCTTATTCTAGGCGTGCAACTGCACGCTTTGATTTTTGTTGACAACAACTATGCGTCGCTTAACATACGTCACGGACTCCGTTGCTCTTATTGGTTGTAGGTCTATCCAATTGAGTGCAGAGGCATTTTTTTTCGTGGTTCGTTCAAAACACGCCCCATAATCACAGCTCTATGGAGCAGTATCAGACTCATATTCTGACTAGAATTGAGTCGGACTACGTCAGGCTATTAGAGTCAAGCACCAAGTGCTGAAATGTCCATGACACTCCCCTAGTTGATGTAAACACCCATGTTGAAAATACCTCAAAATCAGAGAAGGTGCATTATCCTAAAAACTGGAAGATTTTAAAGATATCATTAGATTTCTTTCAAAACTAAACTTGATGGAGGGAGTATCAATCAAGACAGACGTGGCAAAATCATTAAAAAAATTGCTCCAATATTTTACTGATTTCTAGAGTAGAAAGAGATAAGGGAAAAGTGTTTAACTGCCAATTATGCCTGAACTCTCTCTGGTCTTTTGTGGCTCAATAGTAAACCTATTTAGTAGGGATGCACGATATTGGGATTTTGGCCGATATCCGATATGCCGATATTTTAAAACTCATGTAGCCGATAACCGATATCGATACAGATGTTAAAGCTGGACAAAAATAAGTAGTCATTGAAAATAGCAGTTTTGTTATCCATTTCTGACACTTTGAAAAATAATATACTCAAATATATTTTCATATGCTGATATCAAATAGATTTTTAAAAACGCGGTATCGATCTATTTTACTTTCAAAATCTCGTGAAATTTAATCGTTCTGTTACAAACTGTCGTGATATTTTGCAAATTCTTGTGGGATTTTTTTAGTAAAATAGATCGATACCGCGTCAATATATCAACATATAAAAATATGGCTAAAATTTTGCGTATTTCTTGGGGGATTTCGTAGCATAACGATGACATATAGCAATATTTCATTAGTAAAAGAGATTGATATGGTGTTTTTAAATGGCAACATATATATTATATATTTTTCCCTCGTCTTTAGAAGTTTTTAAGTTTGTAAAAAAGACGTTTCCGAGGAAGAAGAACAAGTAGTATTTTTTATTTTTATTTTTTAGACTTTAGAAACTCAAAAGCTGATCAAATATCGGGTTAAATATCGGTGGGGTGGCCGATGTCCGATATTCAGTTTTAAGGCCGATACCGATAGGGGGCCAATTATATCGTGCATCCCTACTATTTAGAGGTTTTCTAGGAACGTCCGACCGGGAGGAGACCCAGAGGGAGACGGAGGACACGCTTGAGGGAGTATGTTTCTTGGCTGGTCTGGGAATTCCTCGGGATTCTGCCAGAGGAGCTGGCTCAAGTGGCCGAGGAGAGGGACGCCTTGGCCTCCCTACTAAAGCTGCTAGTTCTGCGACCTGACCCCGGATAAGCGGATACGGTTGGATGGACGGACGGATGGTTAAACATGGCTATCTATTAAATAATAATCCTAACCTGATGACTAAATGTTTCCTTAAACGCAAAATACATGCCATTTAAAAATAAATCCCATGAAAAAATACAAATAAAAAATTTTTATAATTAGAAATTCAAATATCATCTTTTCCTTTTACATAATTTGCTATGCGAGAGGGTTAAGAGTGACATGCTGCCTATAAGAGGAAATAGTGCAGCAACCTCACAAGACCAACGATTCTCTTTTGTCATTTATAAATAGTATATATTACTTTATCTTCAATTAATTTTTTATGTAATTCAAAAAAAAATTTCTTTTCGAGATTAAACATTTTTATATTTAGAATGGCCTTAGACTGTACCAAATATTATTTCGATAAATATTATTAAAATATTATTGAATTCTTATAACTATGGCACTTTTAAGCGAATTATAGCAAATCAAATCTAACTAGGTCTAGGTATCAATGAGTTTTGTCATAATTTTACATAAGTAAATTTTTGCTTTGAATGCTCTCTAATTTTTGGAATGACATGGAAAACAGCAAGGTACAAAGAAAGTTGCTACAGTCTCATATTTAACAGAAAGAATTAAGATATACAAGAATCAGAAATTGTTTTAGAACTCACTCATTTCTGATGTTTTCGACAATATTTGTTAGCCAGCTCTGGTCTACGGCCGCTAAGCTGCTTCGAGGTGATAGGAAGACGGAGAGACCCAGAACCACCCAACACAGGACGGCCATCTGTATAGATCAAATTTGACATTAAGACAACAATAAAATCATCTAAAAAAGTTCACGACATAAAACAATGTGCAACGATTACATTTCAAATTTAAAATCCAAATTTATAACAATCAAAATGAAAAGTCTTGTTGTTTTATGTATGAAATAGATGTCTTTGTATTAAAGCTCTGAAACCCAGACCAGTGCCCGGGCCTTTAAATAAAATTTATGTTAGAGGGTCTCCGGACTAAAAAATGACTTTCCTGATTAAATAACTAAAATTAAATAAATAAATGGGTGAAGCTAGATAGGAAACTTCCACCTCAGACTCTACAGATATCACATAATATGCACGGTTTTAAAGGACAGTTATTCAAAAATATCCCTTTAGAACTGTTAAATTAAATGTTTTTAAAGATATTGAAAGTATAGATTGAAGTTATTTATAAAATTATCATGTTAAAAAAGGTATAAGAAATGTCCTTTTTTCATTTTAACTATTTTCTTTTCTTTATTAAATGTAAAAAAATTTCCAATTTTCATACAGACTATAACAAACATGCACCCCAAACATCTAAACTGGGCATTTTAAGCCAATGCATGTTTACAATGTTAATATAATAAACATTTTATTATAGGTACCTTTAGTTTAGATGAATGCAGAGTCGTCTACTTTCACGCTGGTCTCAAAGATGCTGCAATGATTCTTGGTCGAGGAAGCAGTTTTTAATATGCAGGACCAGGAAAGACACACCCATTGCAAATTAACATAGAATTGTCTATCTAAAGCAAATAATGTATGAAAAGATGCACCTTTTACTAATTTTACTGACAAATGTCCTTTTATATGTCCTTTTTTCTATCCTGTCATTTAAATCATTTAGCAGGAAATTAAAAAGGGGTAAAAAATCATATTATTAAAGAAAGCAGTAACTTTAAACATCATGTAAGAGAGTCTTTCTTTCACCAACGGGCCTGTCGTAATAATTTAAAGGATATTATTACCCATGAGTTTGAAATTTTAAAAGATGGAGGTTATAATTTTTTTTTACTTAATATTTTCCTTTTTTATCTGCTGTAAAATGTGATGGTCCTTCGTGTCCTTCTACGCTCTCTTTGCATGATGCCAAAACTTTTCATGAACTTAATCATGATGCTAACAATTTTCATAAAATTCTATGCATTAATCTTTTTTAGGTATACAGAATGGTTAACCTGTTTAGGCAAACTCAAGAACATGGAAATCCACTGATATCCATTGTTATTCAGTTACTGGGTTCATTATTAGGTTAGTTTGAAAGTGGCATGATCTGAGAAGAAAAGACAGACTTATTTGAATTAAATTATTAGTTCCTCATAATGTTTAAAACCAAGATATGCAGAGGTGTCCCGTCAGCCAAGAAGAGGAAACTGAGGCTACAGCCACGTAGATTTGCATGTTAACTTATTTTTGAAGATGTCGCCCGGTACAACGAGACTTGAGTTAGACCATGAGCTTTGAATTATAACGTTATAATTCTGCATAAAGATGAGAGCATCAACCTTGCCTTTTTTCAACAGCTTGAGCAGCTGGTAGTATAAAAGTTTTGAGGATGTTTTCTCAAATACTGCATCTTAGAAGGGTGTGAGGTCTCAACAGCTTGGCTGGCTATTGTTGCAGACTATTTTTGTCATACTCACTGAGCTGTGTACAGCTGGGGTGCACAATTCCAGTCCTCAAGAGCAGCTATCTTGCAACTTTTGGATGCACCCCATTTTTAACACGCCTGAATCGAATGAGTGGCTTGTTACCATGCCTCTGCTGGGCTAAATGAGGCGATTAAGCCTTTCTATTCAGGTGTGTTAGAGAAGAGATGCATCTAAAAGTTACAGGATGGTTGCTCTTGAGGACTGGACTTGAGCAAAGGTGTAGTTATGTGTTTAATTTAGGACTAGCAGCTAAATAAGCACTTACATGAATTAAATAAAATAGGAGAAAAATAAAAGCAATTAAAGATAAAAGCAGGTAACTAATAAAACAGTTGGACCACAAACTTGAAGCCAATTATACCTCAGCAAATAGCTTAACTTTAACAGTCAAAGGCAGCTCCGCATTTGCTGCCCTGCAAACCTTGAAAAGTGTGCTTCAAGGAACATCTGTGGAATAACAGCAAACTTTAACACATTTCTCACAATTTATAAATCTTTTGCTAATGAATTTAGGTTTGTATGAGTTACAAGTTTTACATAACAAAAGAAAATATGCATCACTTGTAAACTGTCTACCCTTATGAGGAATGAACTAAGAAGCTGATAAAAACTTATTTGCTCCACTTGTCCTGTTTCAAAGACCATGGAACTGTAATGACTCAGGACAGAGGATCCAGTATTCCGGCAAGACAGATAGTGGGATAACTGAAAAAAAGCATTTATTTAAAACCAGCTGATCAGAGAAGCAATGGATAGGGTATCTAAGGCTGGAACCTCTGCAGGAGAGAAACATATGTTAGCGACCCTGATAATCTGATGGAGAATGATTATCCACGTGAGTCACTAACCTGGTATACAAGTTCAGTCCATGCCTAGAGAACGAGGTAGGGTCCAGCAGGTAAACTACAATAAAATGCGGCTGGCGCTGCCCGGAGTGTCACAGTTGCTGCAGCCCAGGAGAACAAGCAGGAGTATGAAGCCAGGTCAGGCAAACAGATCAGAACAGGACCAGGCAGGCTCAGAGGTCCAGGAGTCCAAAGACAGTTCAGGCAAACCGTTCAGATGGAAACAGGCAGGCTCAGTGGTTGAGAGGCAGAACAGATCAGGATCAGGAAATCAGAAACAACAAGGTACCCTAAAAACACTCAATACTCGCTAGAGAGAACAAGAATAATCTGGCAATGATGACTGGATGCAAGCAGGTGGATAAGCTGAGTACTGATAAGAAACTGGTAAGAGGTAGAAAGGTGAATGAAATTAGTAATTGAGCCAGTCATCAGTGCCAAGCACAGGAAACGCTTTTCGTTATTGAGGCTTAAAACCTCTCAGCTATACACATATTTGAGCAAGAGCACCTATGTGGTAAAAGATTAAATTTCACATCCTTATGAATAAAAATAGAATACATTAGACCTTTAACATCAAGTTTTAATTGGCTGATTTGGTGGGAGATGTTCAGAGATTTTCAGAAGATTCAAAAAACAGGATTTGGAGTAAGTCAAAATTCTAAAGCATTTTTTTTCATGATTTTTGTTTGAACATAAAAATAAGTGCAAAGATAAAATCTATTTCCGCAGGACAGTGTTATTAGTAATGACATACAGCTGCATACGAACCTAAGTAGCTGTACCACTTCAGTTCTTCCCCATTTTGTTACATTATTGCAGCAAACATTATTAGTGTTAAAGTAATTTGACAGAATATTAGCAAAATAACACTGGCCAGCTGGTGTGAGGTACTTGGGTGTCTAAATTTTATAACTTGAGCATCATTTTTATGCTCCATCAACTCATAACTCCTTACCACCAGCAGTGAAAACTATAATGAAAACAGGAAACTTAGATATTATAAAGGAAATCCAAAAAGGACAAGATATTCTGTCCATAGTCTTGTCCTTAGTCATCAACAAAAATGGTGCAGAGATGGTAAATAATAGAAGACAAGAGGATAATTGAAGAGACACAATCAAGACAGATTTGTCTACATGATTAGAGTCACGCTGAACAACAGATGAGGCAGTCTTGGGTGTGGGCGTTTAAATAAAAATGAATGTTTATAAAAGTATAGAGGGCTAACAGCCAGCTAAAATGAATAATCTAAAGAGGCAGATTCTAAAATGGTAGTAAAAAAAAAATATATATATATATATATAATATATTTAATTAACAGAAAAAGGGACGCAACACTAATTTCCTCTTTTTACTTTGAAGAAATGGAGTATGGTTGTGGGTCCACCCAGTGTTTAGTGAGGTGTGACATGCTTCGTCGTGAGGTAATGACAATGAGAAAAGCTGTGGTGAAAGACGGATCAGAAAAAATACATTTTTATACTTTATATTTTTTTTTGCTTCTTGTGTAATGAATCAGAACGTAGGACCCAGAATTCAGGTGAGACAGACAGAGGAACACTTAAAAAAGCATTTATTTTAATGAAGGCAAATCTGGGGATCTGCATCGGTAGCGTGTTGGAATGAAGAACATCTATAGGAGAGAAGCACAGGTTAGTGACTGTGAAAATCTGACAGAGGATGATTATGCACGAGTCACTAACCTGGTTTGACAGTCTGTCCATTGCCCAAAGAATGGAAGATTATTCCAGCCGGTTGACTGAGATTTCCAGCTCTCATGACAGCAGATCAGATCCGAGCTGACAAATGCAGACAGGATAATCCAAAGGGCGAAGACAAGAGGCGGGTCCTGATGAAATCCATGAAAGAGTCAGACAGGAGACCGAAGACAGGCAGGAAAACAAATCAGACAGGGGCAGGCAGGATCAAAGGTCAAAAGGCTGAAACAGATCAGGATAAGACAATCAGAACACAAACATAATAGAAAAACTCTCTACACCAACTTGGAAGCTGAAACCACAATCCTCTACCTCTGTTCAGTAATGGTATCTTCTCTTAAAAGAGGTTTTAAGGAAGCCATCTCTGTAAAAATCACAATATCGGTGTAAATGGACTTGAAATAGTCAGATGCTGGCCAGATCGGAGTGCCCATCTTGTTTTTAAACAGTCCTACCTGATCTGATTTGTGCCACATTTGCTTGCAGTATGAAAATGGCCACCAAGTCAGAAATATAAACCTGTTTCCACATTTTACCATGGCCTTGGTAGGTGCAGTCTTCAACCTATTACTTTGTGCTCATTGTTTCTGTCAGGGTCAGGTTGAGTTTGTGCCCACCTCCAGCAGGCTATGGGCAAAAGGCAGGGTACATCCTAGACCGGCCACCAGCTCAGCACAGGGCAGAAACATACAATGATGCACACAAAGATAATAGCATTTTGGAGAAGACCCAAAGATGCAGACAATATACAGAAACACCATAGACCAGCATTCAAACCCAGGAGCAAATGTGCTAGAAACTGCACCACCCTTGTTTTATTCTATCCAATTCAACTACATTTTATTTATACAGTTTGCAATGCATGTCATGGCACTTTACAGAGACAATTTTATCATATCATACAGATTGGTTAAAAACTTTTATATCTTAGAAAACTAAGCTGATTCATCAAGTCATGAACTTGCAGGATTCCCTTCTCCTGGATGAGCATTTTGGTGACATGCAGTGCATCCAGTGACAGTTAAGGAAAAAAACTGTCCTTTTGCAGTGAGAAACCTCTGTCCCTGCATACTATCCGCAGCCAGGGGGAAATACTGCCATTCCTTCCATTGCAGTGTGATGTCACATGGAAAGTGGATGTTCTTAGACCACTATGTCTAACAGCAGTAAATGAGTGTTAGGCAGATAGAGTTTTCTGATGATGTGCCAGCCTCTGCAGTCTATCCACCGTAGCTGGAGAGGACTGTCTGATGGAGTTGACAAATATTTCTGGGTCCTCTTACTCCTCTACACCAGCCCTAGTGGCTGTGCAGCAATGAGCTGCTTTATGGGATCATATATAACTTATATGAATTATATACGTCTCAGTCTGACCCTCAGAATTCAGGGGGCAGCACATTCATTGCTTTTGTTCTTATCGTTGGAACACAAGGTTTGTTATCTGTCTCAGCTTTAAATCTGGTAAAACATAGAGAGTAGCACATTTTCTGAAACCCAACGTCTTTTGAGCAACAGAAGTTT